GCAGTGGTGGTGAAAACCTTTAATCCCAGCACTCCGGAAGTAGAGGCAGGCAGATCTCTGAGTCTGAGGTTAGCCAGGCCTACAGAGTGAGTTGTAGGACAGTCGGGGCTGCACAGAGAAACACTGTTTCAAAAAAAAAAAAAAAAACAACTAACTCAACTACTTAAGTCTCCCTCAAATTCCGTCAGTTTTTAAATATGTTTTTAGTTGAAATAGAATTATATCACCTTCCCCCAGTTCCCTCCGTCTAGCCCCTCCCAGCTACCCTTTCTCAAACCCCTCCCATGTCTCAACTCAACTATCAGGTTAATAGCCGCTTTCCTTCCCAATGATGATTATTATTGTTAGACACACACCACCACGGGCACACGCACACACTCACAGTCAGTCCTAAGACCACATACACACTAACAAAACTGGATTCAGCAGGTTGTATTTTTATATATTTGTGCATACACACACTAACATTCTTATTTTTTGTTCTGAGGTCTTATAGATTGTTTTTTGGGGGGGGGGTTGATTTGTTTTTTGTTTTGTTGTTGCTGAGATACAGTTTCTTTGTGTAGCCCTGGCTGTCCTTGAACTGGTTCTGTAAACCAGGCTAGCCTCAAACTCAGATATCTGCCTGACTCTGCCTCCTGAATTCTGAGATTTCTGAGCATAAAGGCCACCCACCCAGCCATTCACCATATTTTTTTAAGGTGGGGTCTCACGGGGGCCAGCAAGCCCTGAGGAGCGTCCTATCTCTGCCCCCTCAGTGCTGGGTGACACATATTGTGCCTGGCTTTTCTCATGGGTCCTAGGGATCCGAGCTCAGGTCGCCAGCCCTTTCTTTTATGGTTGGTCAGTTGGTTTGTTTTTGTTTTTCTAATGTTTGAGATCAAACCCGAGGCCTTGAGGATGGAAGACAACAAACAGCATTGTCTGACAGATGTGTATCATGGATGTACAGATGGAACCAAATCAAATCTCATTGTGAGCTACTGTTTTCCCTTGAGCCTTCTGTTCTGAAGGGCGCTACCAGTGTTTATTCTCTCTCTTTTTCTCTCTCTCCCTCTCCCCTACTCTGTGTGTGTGCGTTTCACTGCAGATGGCGTATAGACTTTACACATGCTAAGCAACCTGTGGCTGAGCTGTTTCCATAGCCCTTTTCCTATTTTTATTTGGAGACCAAGTTTCACTACCCTGCCCAGGCTAGCCTGAAACTCACTCTGTAGTTATAAGAATGCCCTTGAACTTGCAGTCCCCCTGCCTCAGCCTCCTACATAGCTGGAATTACAAGCCTGTATCACTGGGTCCTGACCTCTATTTTTAACTGTGCTGTTTTCAATTGCGGAGCAAGACACATCAAACAACTATCTCGTGAGGCCTCAGTGTGAAGCTTCCACCCCTGCCCTGTCCGCATTCCTGTGGGCCAGTGTGCCAACTGCCAGCAGTTTCATCTCTGACTGGGGCATCACAAAGCCCCAGAAGACCAGCAGGCATACAATCAGCTCTCAACCAGACCCTGCGAGTCAAGGCTGCCTAGTATCCATTGTAAGATTTCTCCACATTTCAGATCCAAAGGTGGGGTAGAACCGGCATGTAAATACCCTTCAGTGGGATCACTCACTCCCCACCACACCCCACTTTCCCACAGAGTCGACCTTCTACTGCCTGTACTGGCAGCTGGCTTCATTGCACCCTTTTTGGGGTCGCCTTGTCCTACTTCCTCTGGCCCCCTTCCTCTGCTGAGGAGCACATCGAGCCCAGGCTCAAGACCTAACGGACATTGCACAGCTTCTGCACCGAGTCTCTCAAGAAACAACAACAAACAGTACTGCCGGTGCTGACAGAAAGGTCTGCCTTCTGGTCCAAAGTAAACGCCCACAGCAAGAAAGAGAAGGTTGCTTCAACTCTGAGGCCATGCCAGGCGGGCAGAATGTGATTGGGCATTTCGTTCCTGAGATATGAATTCTCTGACAGAAGAAGAAAGGCCAGCTTTGCCCTGGAAGGGAAGCCAGGCTCCCAAGCCTATCATTTCCTGGGATTCTGGAGTGCACCTTCCTCAGAGGGACACTTTTGCAGAAATGTTTTTTATTTTTATTTTTTTCCTATTTTGGAAGTGGTGCTTGCTGGAGCTCTTCTGTGAGTCCAGAGGTTCCAGCAGGTGCACATAGCTACTCTAGAGTCTTGACCAGGTACCACCCCTCCTCTGCCTCCACGAAAGTTTGTTTCCTTCAGCCCAGCCTGCTGCTTCGGGTAGGACACCCAGAGTGGTGAAGGAGGAAGGGGACACCTGCCTAGTGACCAATAAGATAACAGGTTTTGCAGCCAGATCACCCTCACATCTGTGTTGTCTTTTGTTTCCTGCTGGTTGTGGAACAGCCTCATTTAGCCCAGTCTGGTCTGAAATGGGCTGTGTAGCAGAGGATGACCTTGAACTCCTGACCTTCGTGGCCACTGGGAATTACTGCTGTGTGTTGTTACACTCAGCTTGTCGAGGTTTTTAATCTGCCTTACTTCTACTAACATTAATCTCTCTAGTGTGAGTTTGCGTGAGAGAGACGGAGAGAGAGAGAGACAGAGACAGAGAGAGACAGAGACAGAAAGACAGAGAGAATAACTTTCAGGAAATGGCTTTCCTTCCACCATACAAGTCCCAGAAATTGAACTCAGTTTGTCAGGCGTGGGAGCAAGCCCCCTCGCACAATGAGCTGTCTCAACAGCTCCCCATTCACCTCACTTCTGACGATCTGCCCTCGCTCTAGGCTCATTCAAGCACCACGGGCAATGAGGAATACATGCAGAAGCCTCTTTACCCTTCCAGAGAAGCTGAAGTGATGTCCAGTTGAGTTGGGGAACTACATAAAGAGCATCCCATAGTGACTCTAATCTCTCCCAGACCCAGAGAAGGGCCAAAAACCACTGCCTGAGCCTGGGACAGAGCTGCTGTCTTCAGAGGCAAAAGTGACCAGGCAGTCCTCTGCAGATCCTTAGTAACAAAAAACTTGTTCTTTAATGAGGCTTCCTAATGTAGGGCAGGAGAAAACTTCAGAGCTATTATTAGGCAACAAATGGGTCTCATTTAACTGGCCTACTTTTAAAAAGCAACTTTTTTTTTAATTAAAGAATTATTTTTAGCCCTGCATGGTAGCTCATGCCTGCAGTTTCGGTACTAAAGAGGCAGAGGCAGAGGCAGGAGGATCATCCTGAGTATGAAGCTGGCTTTAGCTACATGGGGGACCAGGGGAAGGAGAAAGAAGAAAATAGTTTTCAGCATCAGAGTTCCCTGGAGATCATTTACTGAGGACACAAACATGATCTTGGCCCTGATGGCCAAAATGTAGATTTTATAAACTGGATCAGATAAGTTTGAAGGCTTTGTCCAGCTCTGACATCTGGATTTTGCTCTTGGTGATGGTGACTTGGGTGGCTTGGGATTGGCTTGTTTTGGTTTCTGTTTTGCATATGGAGGGCCTCACACATGCTAGGTGGCCTCTCCTCCACTGACCTTTACCCCAGAAACCATGATTGCTCACCCTCCCTTCCTCTGACTGGAGTCTCTTGGTGACATAAGCTGGATATCTTTTCTCCAAATACTTGGAATCAGAAGAACAAACAAAGGTTTTTTTTGAGATTTTTGAAGACTTATATATGCATAATGGGATATCTTGGGAATGAGACCCAAGTCTAAACACAAAATTCACTTAGAGTTCATATACACCTTGTACACACATGGTCTCAAGGGGATTTCATATCATCTTATTAGTGTGCCTGCATTTACCACAACGCATCACATTAGGTCAAAAGTGGAATTTTCCACACGTAAAGTATGTCATTCATGGCTCAAAGTCTTAAATGTTAGAGTATTCGAGATTCCAAATTTTCAGATGAAGGATGTGCAATGTGGGACTTGGGCCTGCAAATTAAACATCTTCATGTTATCTCTTTCTTGACATTTGAAGTCTTTGGATATTGTTGGGGACCATGAGAGCTCCTGCCTGCTTGCATTCAGCTTTCGCATAGATCATGTTACCTTCAGAAGAAGCAGGGACATCGTATATCTGCTTTCTACAGGGGGAGGGGAACAATGTCCTCTACCAGTTCCAGATGTTAAGTCACTGAATGTCACTTCCAGCTGAGTTCACAAAACAACTCATAACTTGAGGAGGAAGTTCATGTGCTGGGGAGGGGTGGCTTGGCACAGTGAAGGCTTTAAAATCCATGCTGGGGCCTGGAGAGATGGCTCAGAGGTTAAGAGCACTGACTATTCTTCCAGAGGTCCTGAGTTCAATTCCCAGCAACTACATGATGTCTCACACCCATTTGTAATGAGATCTGGTGCCCTCTTCTGGCAGGATTGCATGCAGGACCATTGTATACATAATAAATAAATCTTTTAAAAAGAAAAAGACATGCTCATAAAATAAGATGGGGAAATTCATCTGTGAGTTTTACGGCCTACAAAATCTGCAGCGTGTCTTTTATGGATGCTCTTTAATGTTCCCTGCCAGGAAGATGAGCATAGACCCTGGGGAAAGTGCAGGATGTAATGCTCCACCTCCTTCCATGGAAACCAGATACATTTTCTCTCAGTATTCAGAAAGGGATCTTTCAGGTGGGCAGTTCACCCCAGTTCCTCTAGACCTCTAGCTACACACCAGGAGAAGCTAACTACATCTGACTTGAATTCACTTATAAGGCCCAGGTGTTTGGGGGATTTCCTCTCCATATGTTTATTCTGAGAAAGTGTGACACCCCCCCCCCCAAGTTAGCACTGCTCTTGTCTGCACTGTTTAGCACGACCATGGAAAGAACAGAGCATCCTATGAGTTTTTGTGGTATTCACTCTTGTTGATAGTTCCCAACCCCAGAGCCTCTCACCTAACCCTGATCATAATTTTCTTAAGCCTAGACAAGTCCCCGGAGTGACTTTAAGAGACCACCAAGATACTCCACCACCAGTTACACTGAGAATCTTTTCGCTGCTGCATCTCCCTGTCCTTCGCCCGATTGCAATGGAAGAAGAAACTGCCACACTTGTCATTGACAATGGCTCTGGCATGTGCAATGCTGGCTTTGCTGGCGATGATGCCCCTAGGACCATGTTCCCATCAATCGTTGGGCACCCCCAGCACCAGGGCAGTGTAGTAGGAGGGGGCTTGTTCATTCCTGGCTGCTCAGACCACAAAATAATCACTCAGAAACTATATTATTTGCAATGCTGTTTGGCCAATAGCTTAAGTGTGTTTGCTAGCTCTTATATCTTAAATTAACCCATTTCCATTATTTTATATTTTACCACGAGGTTCATGGCCTACCAGCAAGATTCCAGTGTATCTGTCTCTGCCAGCGGCGACGTGGCTTCTCTTCGATTCTGCCTTTTTTCTCCCAGCATTCAGTTTCGTTTTCCTGCCTAGCTCTATTCTGCTAAGCAACTGGATTAAACAGCTTTATTCATTAATCAATAAAAGCAACCCATATTCAGAAGAACTTCACACACCAGGGTGTCATTGTGGGCATGGGTCAGAAAGACTCCTACGTGGGTGACAAAGCCCAGAACAAGGGAGTATCCCTGACCCTGAAGTATCCCATCAAGCACAGTATTATCACCAACTAAAATGACATGGAGAAGATCTGGCATCACGCTTTCTACAATGAACTGCATGTGGCCCGTGAGGAGTACCTGGTGCTTCTGACCAAGGCCCCACTGGACCCCAAAGCTAACAGAGAGAAGATGACACAGATAATGTTTGAAACCTTCATTACCCCAGCCACATACGTAGCCATTCAGGCAGTGCTGTCCCTTCATGCATCTGGACACACTACTGGCCTTGTCATGGGCTCTGGTGATGGGGTCACATATACTGTACCCATCTACAAGGGCTGCACCCTTCCCCACCATCTTGAGTCTGGACCTGGCTGGCCGGGACGTGGCAGCAGGGCTACAGCTTCACTTGCCGACAGGATGCAGAAGGAGGTCACAGCCCTAGTACCCAGCACAATGAAGATTAAGATCCTCGCTCCCCCTGAGTGCAAGCGCTAAGTCTGGATTGGCAGCTCCATTCTGGCCTCACAGTCCACCTCCAGCAGATGTGGATCAGCAAGCAGGAGTGTGCCGAGTCAGGCCCTCCATCGTCCACCATAAATGCTTCTAGATGGACTAAGCAGGTGCCAGGCATGAGCTGATTATGAAGCATCAATTTGCCCTGGCAAATGTACACACCTCATGCTAGCCTCATGAAACTGGAATAAGCTTTTGAGAAGAAATTTGTCCTTGAAGCTTGTATCCAATATCAGCACTGGATTGTAGAACTTGTTGCTGATTTTTGGCCTTACATTCAAGTTAACTGTTCCCTTGCTATATGTTTAATACCCTGTGCATATCTTGATTTAGTCCCTAGTCAGGTAGCTCGGCCACTTGGTGGCTGGGGAGAGCATGCTGTGAGAGAGAAATCCCCAGCCTGGTGGATCTGTGTGAGCACTGTGCTGTAATCCGTGCAGGTTATTAACTGATTGCTGATTTCCAGGATTTCTCGAGGCTGGCAAGGGTTCCTAAATCAGTTACCACTTCCATCTTACCGGTTTAACAGGGTGGGAAAGTTCCCGAGCCTTAGGGCCCAGTTTCTGTTCTGGTGTTTTCCCTTCTGGTCACCATGGGTTGTTATTTGCCTTGAGTTGGGAATGTCTGCATTGACACCTGAAATGTATTCATTCTTCTAATTTATGTAAGGTTTTTTGTACTTAATTTAAGAAATGACAAATTTTGGTTTTCTACTGTTCAGTGAGACCATGAAGCCCTAGCAGTATGTCACTGTGTAAAGAAAAATGAAAGCATTGCAGGAAAAAATGAGAGAGAGAGAGAGAGAGAGAGAGAGAGAGAGAGAGAGAGAGAGAGAGAGAGAGAGAGAGAAAGTGCCACCAAGAAAACCAGGTGGGCAGAGAACAGAGAACTCCCGCTCTAGAGAGTCTGGGCCAATACCCACACCGCTCTCCACCCCTCTACTTTCCTCATTTCTCCCAGCCAAGGCCTCACAAAGCTGTTGCTTCTTGTGTTCTCTGGGTGAAGGGCAGCGACATCTCTTAATCTAGTCTCCACCTTAGTATCTGAGACAGTGTCTCCCACTGAACCTGGAGCTCACCAGTTGGCTAGACTGGCGAACTCGTAGGCTCCACACCCGTCCCCAGCCTCAGCCCGAGAGTTTCAGATATGCACCACTGTCTGGCTTCTGAATGAGTGCTTCAGATCCAAACTCAGGTCCTCATTCTTGTACGACAGGCACTTGGATGACTGAGCCACCAGCTTGGGTTTTTTGGTTTTGTTTTATGTTTTTGAGATGATGTTTTCCATTGGTCTGGAACTCAACAAGGTAGCTAGTATTGCTGGTCAGGGAACCCCAAAGGGCCACCCACCTCTGCCTCCTCAGCACTGAGATTGTAAGCACATGCCACCACACCTGGCTTTTACACTGACGGTCAAACTTGGGTGTTCCTGCTCTTGGGGCAAGAACATTGACTGAGCCCTCTCCAGCTCTTGAAGTTTCCTTTGATGTCAAACAGACCACTGCCCTTCACCCACCTAATCCTCTCGGAGATAGCAGAGGACAGCAGGATGCGCACAGTGATTTTAAGTGCGTATTCTTCACACGATGGCCCATGGGAGTGATGCCCTCTCTCTCTCACTCTCCTTACTCGTTTATGGAAAGCCACAATCCAACTTGCTGCCCACCCTGTTATAAATCCTTCAGCAGATCCCTCTTGACTTCAAGGTAATACCCAAACCCCCTGGCAAAGCTGATGAGATGCGCAGGACCAATGCAACCAAGCCCCTGCTTCTCTGTACAATTCCAACCAAATGCTTCTAGAACCAACGCAGGCAACCTTATGCTTTACCTATGGAACCTTGGAAGCGTCTCAGGATCTCCCACAGCATTGCCCACCCTGTCCCTTGTTTCATAGTTCATCTAGCCAATCCTATTCATCCCTCCAAGATCTAACTGCATCACCTCCTCCAGGCCACCCTCTTGGCCAGCCTTGCCTAGATCCCCCCTCTCCCAACATGAGCCAAGGCTAGCTGTCTCATTCCTGGGCTCAGATGGGCAAACAGCCAGCCTGGTCAGGAGATCTTGGTCAGTAAGTCAATCATTGCTTCGTGCCAGAAGGCCCCTGGGGACCCTTCCTCTCATTCTTCTTGCAATTGATCGGAGTCAAAAGACAGAGAAGCAAAGTGGTCCTTCCATCTCCCTGACCAGGGAGTCACTGGTCCCCTGGGGAAGGTTACCCATCACCTCCCCAGGCAGCTCCAGATGCCATCCCTGGCCTCTCCGCTCTTCCTCCTTTCCAGCACTCCCTTCCTCCTATCCATCCAGTGAGCTGAGCTTCCCCAGTTGGAGCCTCCAGTGAGCAGGGCCCTTTCTGGGCTCCCTAACTACCCAACAGAGATACCATCTCTTCCCTTAGGAACTGTTCCTGCCCAGTAAATAGAAACCTGGTCCAGAGCCAAAGCCAATCATCCTGAAAGGTATCTGGCCCTGTGGAAGGAAAAGGCTCTGTGTCCATTCTTGGCCTCTCTCCTCCCAGGCTTCCTGACTCCTCCGTGAACTTGCTGTAGTCTATATAAAAAAACATGCTGAGAGTCTTAGCTATGGTTTCTATTGCTTTAACAAACACACCTTGGCCAAAAGGCAAGTTGGGGAGGAAAGAGTTTATTTGGCTTACACTTCAGCATTGCTGTTCATCACTGAAGAAGTCAGGAACTCAAGCAGGGCTGATGCAGAGGCCACAGAGGGGTGCTGCTTAGTGACTTGCTTCTCCTGCCTTGCTCAGCCTGCTTTCTTATAGAACCCAGGACTACCTGCCCAAGGATAGCATCACCCACCATGAGCTGGGCCCTCCCCCCATTGTTCAGTAAATGAGAAAATGCCTTACAGCTGGATCTTATCTAGGCATTTCCTCAGCTGGGGCTCCTTCTTCCTATGACCCTAACTTGTGTCAAGTCAGCACACAAAACCAGCCAGCACACTGAGTTTGGTGGCCCACAATATGTCACCATACTTTAGAGATGGAGGCAGGAGGCTCAGGAGTTCAAGACCAGCCTGGATTACATGAGCCACCGTCTCTCCCATCTTACAACAAAGCTTCTTTCTCTATCCAAGCTGTAAAAGGCAAAGACACATCGTGGAGCATGAGATATCTCCTTTCCTCCACACAACCTCCTGTGTTTATAGGGGGGGGGGGGGTCAGGGGTTCAAGGTCAGCTTGGACTATACAGTGAGTTTGAGGCCAGCCTGGGATACATGAGACACTATCTCCAAAAACAGTAGCCAGACATAATGGTGCTGATATGTAGTTCAGTGGTAAGACATACTAAACTCCATCCTTAGCAATGGAAAAAAAATGTTCATGATGGTGGTGCTCATGCTACCATATTCTTACCAACTTTCTTATTCTTCTGTCTTGTAGGGACATGGGTTTCAAGACAGGGTTTCTCTGTGTAGCCCTGGCTGTCCTGGAACTAGCTCTGTAGACCAGGCTGTCCTGGAACTCGGAGATCCACCTACCTCTGCTTCCCGAGTGCTGGAATTATAGGTGTATATCACCACTTTCTGACTAATTTTATTATTCTTTTTTTTAAATATTTATTTATTTATTATGTATACAATATTCTGTCTGTGTATGCCTGCAGGCCAGAAGAGGGCACCAGACCCCATTACAGATGGTTGTGAGCCACCATGTGGTTGCTGGGAATTGAACTCAGGACCTTTGGAAGAAGAATCAGTGCTCTTAACCTCTGAGCCATCTCTCCAGCCCCCAATTTTATTATTCTTTAACTGAAAGCTAGGCACAAAAAGAAGCAACAAGGTGCTAACGCCAGGTATGACGAGAGTCCATAGCTGCCCTGTGCTTGCCTCCTGGCTCTACCTTCCCTAGTACATGTGTCTCCCCAGCTATTGGTACAGCTACCTTCAGCAGACACTTCTTCACAATGGGCTCTCAACCATTCTGCAGACACCCTGCTGACCAGAGGTCCTGCTGACCAAGCCCTTTCAGAAGCAGGCCTAAGTGGCCTCTTCCACACCTGTGGACCTGTGGTCTTTGTTTTGTTTTTATTAATTAAATGTTTTCATTTATTCTACATACCAACCGCAGTTGCCTGTGTGTTTTCCTCCCATTCCCTCCCCCCACCTTCCATCTACCCCATACCCATCCACTCCTCCTCCATCTCCACTCAGAAAGGGGCAGGTCTCCCATGGGAGTTAACAAAGCAGGTACATCAACTTGAGGGAGGAACAAGCTCCTCCCCTTGCATCAAGGCTGGGCAAAGCAACCCAGCATGAGGAATAGGTTCCCAGAAGCCAGTTCAAGCACCAGGAACAGGCCCTGATCCCACTGCTAGGGGCCACAAACATACCAAGCAACACAACTGTCGCACACATACAGAGGGCCGAGGGCCGTGTCATTCAAGCTCTCTAGTTATTGCTAAGTCCAGAGTCTGTGAGCTCTGTCTTTATGGGTTTCCCTGTCATAACCTTGACTCAACTGGCTCATACAATTTCTCTTCCGTCTCTTCAACTGGATTACCAGAGCATGGCCCAGTGCTTGGCTGTGAATCTCTGCATCTGCTTCCATCAGTGATCCTCCTGCCTCGGCCTCCTTCAGCAAATCCCACCAGAGTGTGCCACCACAACTGGCTTGATTGTTACTTTTTGAGACAAGATCTCATGTATCTAGTCTGACCTCAAACCTGAAGTGAAACCCTAGTGACCTTCAACTCCTGATCCTTCTCCATCTCTACCAACCAAGTGCATATTGGCGGGGCGCCCACCCTGCCCAGCATACCCGCTGTATTGACCTGGGGGCAAAGTTTGTGGGAAACATATTGCAAGTCTGGGAGCTGATGGGGTTCACACACACACACACACACACACACACACACACACACGCATGCACACACGCACGCACGCACGCACATACACATTAGAATGCTCCCAGGCCCCTTTTATTCAGGACTTTCTCAGCGCTGGACCCCATCCATCTCCACATCAG